GTCTCCCTTCACCCACTTTTCTGTTGCCCATCACCCAGGGAGGAGGTTATATGTAGATCCTTGTAATGGGTGCCCCTTTTCTGCCCCACCTTGCCCTCCACCCTCCCGGTATTGCCACTCTCATCACTGGGCCTGACGGGATCATCTGTCCTGAATTCCCTGTGTTTCCAGTTCCTATTTGTACCAGTGTACATCCTCTGGTCTAACCTGATTTCTAAGGTAGAATTGGGATCCTGATAGTGGGGGAAGGAAGCATTTAAGAACTAGAGGAAAGCTGTATGTTTCATTGTTGCTATACTGCACCCTGACCGGCTTGTCTCCTCTCCGCGACCCTTCTGTAAGGGATGTCCAGTTGCCTACAGATGGGCTTTGGGTCCCCAATCTTCACTCCCCCTCATTCACAATCATATGATTTTTTTGTTCAGAAAGGACATTTCAGAATCAATCATGAAGTAGAATGGGGTCTATGATCAGATTACTGTATCAGTCCACCTTCAAGAAAATCCAGTCAATACAACTATCATTCAACTTTATGCATGAACCAAAATGCTAGTTATGAAGAAATTGAAGAGTTCTACCAAGGACTTCAGTTGAAAATTGATTAAACTTGCAAGCAATTGCATTGTTAATTATTGGTAATTGAAATGCAGAAGTAGGAAACAGAAAAGAAAATACGGTCTTGGTGATAGAAAAGAAGCTGGAAGAAAAAAAAGCTGGAGATCACATGATAGAATTTTGCAAAACCAACAACTTGTTCATAGCAAATACCTTTTTTTCTGTAGAAGTACATTTTTAATGGCTGGTGAATTATATCACTACATTTTTGCACTAATTTAAGCACTTAAAAATGGAAGGTGTACAAAGATTAAATTAAGACGTGGTAAATTGATTAAATATTTGTATTTTATATAAATAAAGATCATAACCACATTGTTGATATGTAATACTGATAGAATACAACATTTAAACTTATAAGTCTACAACAGAACTCTGTAATTAAACAGGAAACAAAGTTGGAAAAGATCATGCTAAGAAGGTGGGTTAGAAAGGGGGAACTGATTACAAGGATCTACATATAACCCCCTCCTTTGGGGGATGGACAACAGAAAAGTGGGTGAAGGGAGACGTCAAGACAGTGTAAGACATAACAAAATAATAATTTATAAATTATCAAGGGCTCATGAGGGGAGTGGGTGTAGGGAGGGAGGAGAAAAGATAAGGACAGATACCAAGGGCTCAAGTAGAAAGCAAATGTTTAGAGAATGATGATGGCAACAAATGTGC